CCTCAGAATAACTAAAATGAAATACATTGACAACACGAAGTGCTGGCAAAATTGTGGGGCACTGGAGGCACTCAGGCACTGTGTGCAGCCCCATCAGGAAATGTTGTTAACTTTCCAACCATGTTTCGCATCTTTTTGACCAAGCAGTTCCACTTCAAGTTGTATTCCCCACACAACTAGTTTATATTTACATCAAAAATGTCAGAGTATCAGAACATTGTAAATCAACCATACTTCATTTTAGAAAATGTTAATACGTTTACAGTAGCTGTATACAGAAGAGCTAACATGTGGAAACCTAAATATCTGTCAACTGAAGACTAAACAAATTTTGCAACATAATAAAAATTTTGCAACATACTCAGCAATGAAGGAAAAAAAAGAACTGAAAAAGCATTTGGGAAATAATACAGTGGAATTTCAAAGTGTCAAGATAAAGAATGGAGCCTAATGCTTTAAAAATAAGAAGGAAAAAAATCACCTACAAAGAAAAACCAAAAAGTTTAATTTTAGTCTACCCAGACTTAGAAATGAATGGGTGAAATTAATTTAATAGTTTCTATATGCCAGGTTGCACTCTAGAGGCTTATAAGCTATGTAGTCATGAATTCTCTGTAAGACCGAATGAAATAGCTATCAACATCCTCATTGTACAGGTAGAGAAGCTAAGACACAGGCAGGTTAACATTTTGTAGTGCGGACATACAGAACCAGAATTTTACCTCTATTTTTAGTTACTATATTAAGCTAAACCTTAAATGTTCAGAGAAAATTATTTAAAGCCTAATGACTCTATATACAGTCAATCTATCAATGAACTGCAAGAGGAAAAAAGAGAAGAAAAGATATTTTAAACAGGCAAGAACACACAGAAAAGTTATCATTTATGCATCACATCTATATTTTTCTGAATAAAACTGGATTATATACTTCAGCAAAATGAGACATACATCCAATAGAATTCAAAAGCTGATAACCAACTAGAAATTACTCAAGGGTGCCATGGAGAGTAATCTCAAGAAAGCAGCACTCCAACAGGCCTTTAAAAATGCAGAATGTATTAAAGTCTTGCACAAAAAAATATGGCCTCAGAGCAGAAGTGTTGTCAGAAATTCTTGACTCAGGCCTCACTCCAGATCTACTGAATCAGAACTTCCATTTTAACAAGATCTTGAGGATGTTTGTATACTAATGAAATCTTAAAATTTAGTAACATTATGAATAATTAAGAGAAAGTCATTAAGTGAGATGATACTGAAAGCTTGTCTTTATCCTGCAAGTGGGCAAAATGGAAGGTAATTTGAATTCCAGCAAAAACAGAAAGCTGTCCCAGAAATCTTTGGCCCAATGCAAATTAAATAGAAATGTGACATAATTATGGTCAGTTGAATCAGAGTCAAAGAAAAGAATTGACTTTATTTTTTTGAACAAATGCCTTCTTTTACAGCAATAGGTGTTTAGTAAGAGAGTAAAGTAACATGTCATTCTTTTTTTTTTCAGTCACACCATGTATTCCCGATGCTTGTTGAATAGTGTTATTTAATATTTCAATCAAAATGGATCTGCTTAAAAGTTCCAACAACTGAAACATAAATAGATCATATTTTATATATTTACCAGACTGTATGTAAACTTGGACTGACGCAAAGAAGAAAGGGTAACGATATTCCAATTGAGATACATAGGAAAAATAAAGCATACTACTGAGCAATAATAGGAAATGAATCACTCATACACACAACAGTATGGATGAATCTGAAGAGCTTTATATTGAGCAAGACACAAGACTCAAGTTTTAGTGAGAGAGAAAAATATCAAGAAAGAAATCAGATCAGAATTTCTGCCTTTAGGATGGAGGCAACAAAAGTGAATTGGTTGCTATTCAGCAGGGCTCTAAAGAGCTCCAGTACTACTGACCTTTACGTCTCAATGTAGAAAGGAATTCAGCGAGAGACAAAGTGATAGATGAGAAGTGATTTATTCGAATAAGACATTTGTGAAGTTTACAGCTGGGTGGGTAAGAAATGCCTTACCCTGAAACTTTCATTTCAGTCGCTCAGTCACTTACAACTCTTTGTGACTCCATGGACTGCAGCAGTCCAGGCTTCCCTGTCCATCACAAACTCCTGGAGCTTGCTCAAACTCATGTCCATTGAGTAATGCCATCCAACAACCTCATCCTCTGTCATCCCCTTCTTCTGCCTTCAATCTTTCCCAGCATCAAGATCTTTTCCAATGAGTCACTTCTTCACATCAGGTGGCCAAAGTATTGGAGCTTCAGCTTCAGCCTCACTCCTTCCAATGAATAGTCAGGACTGTTTTCTTTTAGGATTGACAGGTTGCATCTTCTTGCAGTCCAAGGGACTCTCAAGAGTCTTCTCCAACACCACAGTTCAGAAGCACCAATTCTTTGGCACTCATTTTCTTTATATTCCAACTCTCACATCCATACATGACTACTTGAAAAGCCATAGCTTTGACTAGATGGACATAGCTTTGACATTACTTTGTTGGCAAAGAAATGTCTCTGCTTTTTAAGTGAGACATTTAAGTGAGAAATGTCTCTGCTTTTTAATATGCTGTCTAGGTTGGTCATAGCTTTTCTTCCAAGGAGCAAGTGTCTTTTAATTTCATGACTGCAGTCTCCATCTGCAGTGATTTTGGAGTCCAAGAAAATAAAATCTGTCACTGTTTCAATTATTTCCTCCTCTATTTTCTATGATGTGATGGGATTAGATGCCATGATCTTAGTTTTTTGAATGTTGAATTTTAAGTCAACTTGTTCACTTTGCTCTTTCTCTTTTATCAAGAGGCTCTTTCTTCTTCGTTTTCTGCCATAAGGGTGGCAGGGTGACAATATACAGCCTTGAAGTACTCCTTTCCCAATTTGGAACCTTTCTGTTTTTCCATGTCTGGTACTAAGTGTTGCCTCTTGATCTGCATACAGATTTCTCAGGAGGCAGGTAAGGTCATCTGATATTCCCATATCTTTGAGAATTTTCCACATTTTGTTGTGATCCACATGGTCAAAGGCTTTAGTCTAGTCAAGAAAGCAGAAGTAGATGTTTTTCTGGAACTCTCTTGCTTTTTCAATGATCCAATGGATGTTGGCAATTTGACCTCTGGTTCCTCTGCCTTTTCTAAATCTAGCTTGAACATCTGGAAGTTCACAGTTCATGTACTGTTGAAGCCTGGCTTGGAGAATTTTGAGCATTATTTTGCTACCATGTGAGATGAGTGCAATTGTGCAGTAGTTGGATCATTCTTTGGCATTGCCTTTCTGAGGGACTGGAATGAAAACTGACCTTCTCCAGTCCTGTGGCCCCTGGTGAGTTTTCCAAATTTGCTGGCATATTGAGTACAGCACTTTCACAGCATCATCTTTAGGATTTTAAATAGCTCAACTGGAATTCCATCATCTCCACTAGCTTTGTTTGTAGTGATGCTTCCTAATGCCCACTTGACTTTGCATTCCAGGATGTTTGGCTCTAGGTGAGTGATCACACCATGGTGATTATCTGGGTCATGAAGATCTTTTTTGTATAGTTCTTCCTTGTATTCTTGCCACCTCTTCTTAATATCTTCTGCTTCTGTTGGGTCCATACCATTTCTGTCCTTTATTGTGCCCCTCTTTGCATGAAGTGTTCCCTTAGTATCTCTAATTTTCTTTAAGAGATCTCTAGTCTTTTCCATTCTATTTTTTCCCTCTATTTCTTTGCACTGATCACTGAGGAAGACCTTCTTATCTCTCCTTGCTATTCTTTGCAACTCTGCATTCAAATGGGTATAACTTCCCTTTTATCTTTGCCTTTTGCTTCACTTCTTTTCTCAGCTATTTGTAAGACCTCCTCAGGCAACCATTTTGCTTTTTTGCATTTCTTTTTCTTGGGGATGATCTTGACCACTGCTTCCTGTACAATGTCACAAACCTCCATCCATAGATCTTCAGGCACTCTGTCTATCACATCTAATCCCTTGAATTTATTTATCGATTCCACTATATAATTGTAAGGGATTTGATTTAGGTCATACCTGAATGGTCTAGTTGTTTTACTTACTTTATTCAGTTTAAGTCTGAATTTGGCAATAAGGAGTTCATGATCTGAGCCACAATCAGCTCCCAGTCTTGTTTTTGCTGACTGGATAGAGCCTCTCTAACTTTGGTGTCAAAGAATATAATCAATCTGATTTTGATATTGACCATCTGGTGATGTCCACGTGTAGAGTCTTCTCTTGTGTTGTTGGAAGAGGATGTTTGCTATGACCAGTGTGTTCTCTTGGTAAAACTCAAAAATCCAAAACCCTGATACTTACTGGACTAAAGTTTTATAATCAAAGAACAAGTGAGGAGGGGAGAACATCTTTGACTTTTTTGAGTTGACGCCATGCTTCCATCATCAGTTCCTTCTCCAGCTTGAACAGAAGAGTTTTCTTATACTTACATGGTTAAGTTAGGTCCACAAATTATTGCTTTTTATGTGTGCAAAAAGCATGTCCTCACTTACTGAGCTCACTGGGCAGGATATGGGCCTCATGTCACTACTGTTTTACTGTTTTGGGGGCAAGTCTCATGCTTCTGTCACATGGTTTTTTGCTAAACAAGCCTGCATGGTTTTGTGGCTAAGTAAACCTGATTTCTTGAGTAATCATTAACTTACAGGGATCTTCCATATTTTTTTCTATTTACAATCCCCTAGTGGGATTAACTATTTAATGACTTACTTTATCACTTCACTCTGCCCCTATTGAAACTCTTTATGGAGTGCTGAAAGTTTTCTATATCTTAATTGGGTGGGTAGCCACACAGACATTGATATGTGTCAGAAATCATTAAACTATGTACTAAAATATTTGCATTTTACTGCCCCACTTATGCAGCCATAAAGCTAATTTTAAAATGAAATAGAGATACACATTCATTAACTGATTTAATGATAATGGAATCATGATTCCTTACAACTCTAAAATTTGGGAATTTTGACAATGGTCCTTCAGAATACCCATTTATTTCTAGAGGTACTTTCAGTCTCCAATAGCTGCTTCTTCTGAGAAAGCAAACATACTCCTGATTTCTCTTAAAGCACCTTCATCTGACATTGGTTTTAGTAAAGTAAGAGCCTGGATTTTAGAACCTTCTTCATCACTCACTTTGACAAGAGAGTAGAGTAAGGACAAAAATACAAATGCAGTAAATGTGATGTGTGTTCATTACTTTGATTGTGGTGACAGCATCACTGGTGTATGCCTATGTCCAAATCCCCTATGTCAAAATGTATGCGTTAAATATGTGCAACTATTCGTATATTACATGTGGCTCAATAAAGTTAAAAATAAGAAAACAATAAAGGATATGTAGTTTGTTTAAATTTTTAATTTAAAAGGGTATTGAATATTAACAAATAATTAAATTTCTAGGTACTTTCTTGCTACTATGAACCCTACAACATAATTATCTTCAAAGAGATTCTTGTTCCTTCTTTCTCAGAACTTCTTCATTTGGAATCCATTGTCATCAGGGAATCAGCGAATTTTGGTAAGAGACCAGCTTTTAGTGTACCTAATTCTTATTGTTACGAGTCTGTAGAAGTTGCGATTTCTGGTAACAATGTTACATCTAGACTTTCAAACTTTCTGTGTTTTATTCCAAAATTCCTCATGTTCTCAGGTTGTCCACTGCACTTCCCTAGGCTTTGGCACTAAATTAACTTTTGTACACTTTTGTTGCTATTTCAATTACTTTTTTTCTCATACTGAAATTAAACTTCCACAATCATTGATAATTTAAAAAAATACCTAAAGGTGCCAAAAAAAAAATCAAAATACCACAAATCTCACCATTATTCTTAAATGTTATATCATTTGGACATATTTCCCAAACCCTGTGGACGTCATGTGCCCTGAGGAGTACATGTCGTATTTGCTCTTCTCCATCTCCTGGTACCTCCCACGCTCAACCCCATCATCTGTAGAGTTAGAACCAAGCAGATCAGGGACAGGGTTATTCAAGGATGTTGTAGAAAAGACTCCCAACTCAAAGCAGAGGGTTTTAACCACCCCAAGGTCCCCACTGTTAAGACGCTGATGATATAAATGCATACATTTTGCCAGGATGTCACAAATTGTCACAAAGTCATGGATGTGAACAGTTGGCTCAGAGGACTGACATCCTCATGAAGCAACAGGGACAATTTTCAGGCTACCCTGGATAAGAACTCTCAGAAAGAAGTGACTGATAATGGCCACAAGGTTGGCCTATGTTCATTATCTGAAGAAACAGTAAAAAAAAAAAAAAAATTCAGTTATCAAATTAGTGAACATCTAAAAAGAGTATCATCTTCCACAGATCCCAAGGTGAAAATTCCTTTTACATGGCTGGTAGAAGTATAAATTGGTATACCTTGTTACAAAGGAGTTTAAAATTTCCCTGAAAACTGTTTAAAAGTCCTGTATTGTCCTCAACTTTGGAATTTACTTATAGAGTTTTAGAAAATGTTGTACAAAGATATGTAGGTGCCTCAGATGGTAAAAAATCTGCCTTCAATGCAGGAGATCTGGGTTCTATTCCTGAGTCAGGAAGATCCCCTGAAGAAGGGAATGGCTACCCACTCGAGCATTCTTGCTGGAAAATTCCATGGACAGAGGAGTCTAGTGAGCTACAGTCCACGGCATCAGAAAGAGTCAGACACAACTGAGCAACTAACGGTTTCACAAACCATTTTTTCCTTCTGTAGAAATATTCAGGTATATGGACAGACAGATATCCAATGAGACAGGCAGAGGTCTATAAATAATAGGCTCTATCTTGTAGCCCCTGCTTTTGAATGAAAACAGCATAACACTTGGGCCAATTTTCAGGGTAGGAAGACAGGCTTAAAGCCCCATAGCAGTGTACTTACAGATACTGAGTTAGTTTTGACCCTATGACAATTACCATGAGAATCTGGGCTGGAAGATAGCTGACTGACCAAGCGTGCATTTGTAATGCATTTATGGTGTGACTCTTCTTACTTGGAGGATCAGTACATTTTTTTTCTGAAAAAAATCAGATCATAAACATTTTAGGCTTTGTCGGCCATACAACCTCTGTTGCAACTCCAGCTTAGTCATTATGGCATAAAAGCAGACATAGTCAATATATAAATATGTGTGTATGGCTGTGTTCCAATAAAAGTTTATTTATAGAAATAGTCTGCAAGATGGATTTGCTGCTAGATTTTCCTAGCACCTGGCATGGCATAGAGAGGTATTCAATAAACATTTGCTGAGCAAAGTAACAAATACAGGTCATTATTCAGTAGCTATGGAATCACTAAGCAATTAACCATACCTGAAAATGTTCTAACAGAAACGTTCACTTTGTCGCCAGACTCACGAGAGTTACATCCTCTTCTCATACTAGTGGTTGCCCTGCTGGCTATGAAAGGATTGTGTGTACCTCACACTGCTGGTATTCTGTGGGTTCATACACTTTGATCCCTCTGGTGACCACCACCGAAGAATCAATGACACAAAAACATCTGGTTCTTATCTACCCAACACCTTTTCAGTATTTAATCTCACTTGACCTGAGTCTTTGCTTGAAAATTTTGATTCTTACCTGCTTCATAGCAGAAACATATAGGCAAGAATAACATCTTTTCAACTTTTTCCTTTAACAACCTACAGACACATGTGTCAGCCAGCCTGAAAGGCTCCTAAAAAGGGTTTCTGCAAGATCTGAAATAAACCGAGCCTCTTTCTGATTTTCTCTACATTTGTAACATTGTGAGAGAACTGGGGCTCACCTTATAGGTTTTACTCTATAATCTGGAAACTTTACCATCCTACCTAGGTAATAACTAGAGGCTTGCTCAAAACATATGCTCCTATCTGGCTTATAGTGAAATTCAGAAACACACGCCCACTATCTAGGGTTTTGTTTTATTTCCTTCTGCCTGGCCTGACCTTTGCAAACAGTCATATATGCTATTTGAGCTACAGGCTTCTTCCCTCCCTCCTTTTTGCCACCTGTATATCACTCTCCACTTGTGAACAAAAGCATAACTTACACCATCTTCATCCCTGCACTGAGCACTGGTGGAGAGTCTGGCTAAGGATATAATTTATCAGAGTAATCAATGATCTCTTTGATTGAATGTGGAAAGCATTGCTGGTTTTGTAGATATGAAACCGTACACGTGTACATTTTATTGTTTCTCTCACAAAACCCCTGCATCTGTATTTAAAATGAGAAACACAGAGCTTAGTGCAGTTACATGATTTTCCCAAGGCCACATAATAAATTTGTGTCAAGTGCACAATGCCACACCCAGCGCTCTGGGTGGTCCACACCTCTGCCCCTGCTAGGTAGTGATTGTTTGGAACACCCACTCTGGTTCTTACAGCAGAGATTGTTGCCCTGTCATGAAAAAGTCAGATACAAAGGAGACCTGTGAAATTGTACACTGAATTACAGATAGATCTGCATTTGAACCTGGTCCCTGCTAAGTCACTGGGCTGGATGACTCTACAATAGGTTCCAGGCTGCTCTTCTGGAATCTCAGGTTACCTACTGCTTTCTGCATCTTTATCAGCTTCTGCCCATGAGCCGTAATAGAGAATTCACCTGTCCCACAAACATTTTTAGGGGTGGTGACTCTCTTCTCAAGCAGAGTTCAGCTACTCATTTACTGTAGCTGCTTTCAAAAACCGGTTTCTCTCTGCTGATTCTATTTCCCAGATTCTCCGCTGGCCTTCTCAAAGACCAAAGTTCCCTCCTAAGAGATGCCTCTCAGCTTCCTCCGGAGAAGGCAATGGCAACCCCTCAAGTACTCTTGCCTGGAAAATCCCATGGACAGGGGAGCCTGGTGGGCTGTCGTCTATGGGGTCGCTAGGAGTCGGACACGGCTGAAGCGACTTAGCAGCAGCAGCAGCTCAGCTTCCTCATTCCATTCACTGGCTCTAATTTTCAGCTCTCAGATTTTCTTTTCAGATGGACCATGGAGGAGCAGAGCTGATCTGCGACAGAAGTCTGAGTGGGCGGTGGGAGCCCTTGAGAGGCTCCTCTCTTTCCTCCCTGCACTTTCTGCTGAGTTCCTAGGGACTCTGGTGCCTTCACACTCACTCACTAGGTGAAATATCAGTTCAATCCAAGTTGCTCAACCCTGAAGGGATAAAGACTAAAATGGGCTGAGATCTTGCTAAGCAGTAGCTTCAGGGAAATTTAGACTCTGTTTAGGGTAGCTAAAACTAAAGCCCAGAACAATAATGCTGGAGCAGGGTGGGGTTCAGATCCAATCTCCTTACTGGAGGCTTTGTGAAAGGAGGCAGTCTTCCTACTTTTCCAGAGTCTTCCTGGGGGTCACGCTACAAGCAGCAAGTCTTCTCTCTGGCTCAGCAGTCAGGTTCTCTGGACCTGGCCCCACACTGAGTCAGGCTGTCCTGCACCGTGCACACCTCGCTGTCCAACTCTGAAGCCTCTGTGAGCCCTGCTGCTCCCTGGGATGGGCAGAGAAGACTGGGACACAGGGCACTGCTCACTGTGAGCTCTGCTTTACCTCTCACCAACTCTACCATGACCAGAAATAACGCTAAACAGTTTCTGGGATTCAGCTTTTAACAGAAACCACCCAGTAGAGCTCAGCTGGTAAAGAATCTGCCTGCAATGCGGGAGACCTGGGTTCGATCCCTGGGTTGAGAAGATCCCCTGGAGAAGGGAAAGGCTACCCACTCCAGTATTCTGGCCTGGAGAATTCCACTGACTGTATAATCTATGGGGTTGCAAAGAGCTGGACCAGACTGGGCGACTTTCACTTCACTTCACTTCTACACACTGGAGCATCTTTGAAGACCTGTGAGAGTTGCTTTTGTTATTATAATCATATATAATGACCTGCCTCAGGGAATTCTGCCCCTCTGCCTGACTGTTAAACCCACAGGCAGGACATACTGTTTAGAATTTTTAGTAGAGTATAATTCTCAACTACTTGAACCTCATGCTGTGTGGTTCAGTAGAATAGGATTAAAGAAGTAGATTGACCTATCCTTCTCCAGCTGTAAGGAAGTTGTAAACTGAACACAACCTTTTTGAAGAGCAATCTTAAGTCCCCTAAGGGTTCACAAACCCATTGTTCCCCAGGCTTCCTGGGAGTTGGGTTTGTTTTCAAAGACAGAGGTACAGCTTTAATCTGAGTATGGTGAATCCAAGGTTTTATCTCAGGCAATTTGACAGATGAGCTCATGGTGAATAATACCTTGTATGGGCCAGTCTACCTTGCAGTCAGTTGATCCTCAGCCCGTTGTTCTCTCTAGGTTTTAAGGAGGACTCCATCACTGAGTTAGAAAAAGTGTAAGGCTACTTCAGTTGCATAGGCAGCTGGAAGCTTAGAAACTTAATATTGGATGAAAGGCTTTTACTCTAATATGTGGACAACTGGCTCATAGCTATCCTTACATATGACAAATGTTTAAAAAATACTATCAGAGTCCTGAACTATTTGGCTAATTGTGGATAAAATGTTTTCTAGAAAAAGGCCCAGATATGCAAACAAGGCATCTATCTGGGCTTTGTCCTCTCCCAAGGACAGTGGGGTATTTCACCTGACAGGAAGCAGGCAGTTCCAGGCTTGAGGGCACCCAAGACCGGCAGACAACTGAGAGGGTATAGGGAATGGCAGGGTTCTGTTGGATTTGGATCCCAAGCGATAGGCTCATGTTAAAGCCCCTAAATGAGGCACGGAAAGGGCATGATCGTGAGCCCTTCACTCAAGGTCAGTGGTTAGTATAATAGAGCAAAGCTCAAGAACAGAGGTTTTCATAATGTCCAAAGACTCAACATAATTAGCAAGAAATAGGTATTTTCATCATTCACAGATACCGTTTCTGGTCAGACACTTGAAATGGCTTATCATAAAATATTTCAAAGGGGCTTAATTTAAGCCTACTTCTGGGGGCCACTCTGATATGTAGTGGGCAACTGGCAAAGCCTCATTTCAAGTTAAATTAGTTTATTGACATTTTAGCAATTCTCCTTTTCAATGTATGACTCATTTTCTAAGTTTTTTCTGTTGGTTGTGGCCTCTAGGATGAATGTAAGTTCCAATCAATTCGCAGTGCTTCATACAGTTGTTAGGGTATGCTAAAGACAAAGAGTAGTTTCTATGCTAACCCACAGGACACAAGAGGCTGGTTTAGTATCATCATCTATGTGACAGGGCATCCAATTTGGACCAGGAGCCACTTTTGCAGTAGGGCAATTTCCTTTGTGAAAATATCCTGTTCTTATTGTTCAGTTGGTAAGTTGTATCCTGCTCTTTGTGACCTTGTTGACTGCAACACACCAGGCTTCCCTGTCATTCATTTTCTCCCGGAGTTTTCTCAAACTCATGTCCACTGAGTCAGTGATGCCATCCAACCATCTCATCCTCTGTTGCCACATTCTCCTCCTGCCCTTAATCTTTCCCAGAATCAGAGTCTTTTCCAATGAGTCAGTTCTTCGCATCAGGTAGCCAAAGTGCTAGAGCTTAAGCTTCAGCATCAGTCCTTCTAAAGAATATTCAGGACTGATCTCCTTTAGGATGGACTGGTTGGATGTCCACCCTGTACAAGGGACTCTCAAGAGTCTTCTCCAACACCACAGTTCAAAAACATCCATTCTTTGGTGCTCAGCCTTTATAGTCCAACTCTCACATCCATACATGATTACTGGAAAAACCACACATTTGACTAGATGGACCTTTGTTGGCAAAGTGATGTCTTTGCTTTTTAATATGCTGTCTAGGTTTTTCATAGCTTTCCTTCCAAGGAACAAGCATTTTTCAATTTCATGGCTGCAATCACTATCTGCAGTGACTTTGGAGCCTCCCAAAATAAAATCTGTCACTGTTTCTATTGTTTCCCCATCTATTTGCCATGAAGTGATAGGATTGGATGCCATGAGCTTAGTTTTTTGAATGTTGAGTCTTAAGCCAACTTTTTCAGTCCTCTTTCACTTTCATCAAGAGGCTCTTTAGTTCTTCTTCACTTTCTGCCATAAGGTTGGTGTCATCTGCATATCTGAGGTTATTGATATTTTCTCCCAGCAATCTTGATTCCAGTTTGTGCTTCATCCAGCCCAGCGTTGCATGTGATGTACTATGCATATAATTTAAATAAGCAGGGTGATAATATACAGTTTTGACGTACTCCTTTCCTGATTTGGAAACAATCTTTTGTTCCATGTCTGGTTCTAACTGTTGCTTCTTGACCTGCATAAAGGTTTTGCAGCAGGCAGGTCAGGTGGTCTGGTATTCCCATCTCTTTAAGAACTTTCCACAGTTTGTTGTGATCCACACAATCAAGGGCTTTGACATAGTAAATAAAGCAGGGTTGATAAGGAGTCTGGGGTCCCCGAGAAGGAGAAACAGGTCTGGGGCTCTTGAGGAGGAGAAAAGGAGAAACTTTTTTTTTTCCCTACATTCCTTCATCTTAGTCACATAAAACATTTTTTTTTTCTTTAAGCACAGAGCTAATGATTACACAAAGAATCAACTCATCTTGCTCAAGGAGTTTTTCCTTAAACTCTGTAAGAATGATTATGTTACAACAATGTATCCTGCTGGAGGACATGTTTCCCCTTCTTAAGAACCCTCTGAATAATCCTGACATCTTAAAATGTATATTGTGGGTGTGAGTCTGGTAAGACCTTTATGACCTTGAGACACTCTTTTGATTTATTGTAATAACCAACTGCTAAGACTACGAGGAGAGAAGGCAATGGCACCCCACTCCAGTACTCTTGCCTGGAAAATCCCATGGACAGAGGAGCCTGGTAGGCTGCAGTCCATGGGGTCGCTAAGAGTCAGACACGACTGAGCGACTTCACTTTCACTTTTCGGTTTCATGCATTGGAGAGGTAAATGGCAATCCACTCCAGTGTTCTTGCCTGGGGAATCCCAGGGATGGGAGCGCCTGATGGGCTGCCGTCTATGGGGTCGCACAGAGTCGGACACAACTGAAGTGACTTAGCAGTAGCAGCAAGACTACGAGGGGGTTACTTTCCACCCCCTTCTGATGTATATGTCAGAAACTTTCTCTGTCCTTTTTCACTGTAATAAAACTGTCACACAAGAGCTCTGAGTTATCAAGCCTGATTCTTGATCCTGAAGCTAAATCCTCTTCTTTGGAGATCACATATCCAACATCATTCACTGTAAGCTATTAAACATAGGTAAAATTTGCATTCATTATCAGTCACTACTTTCAGGGTATCCTGAAAATTGTTCCTCTTATTTCAGCAGGGTGGCTGATCTCTGAGCCAGGTGTTCACAAGGATGATTTTGTGAAAATATGTGACATCCTGGTGAACTTCTGCATTTATATTCCCAGATTGGTGGGGTGATTGGGGTGGTTGAAGCCCTAAGCTTTGACCCAGGGGTCTTTTCCACAACATCCTTGAATAACCCTGTCCCTGATCTGTTTGGTTCTAGCTCCATAGATGATGGGGTTGAGCATGGGAGGTACCAGGAGATAGAGAATAGCAAACATGATGTGTACCATTCGGGGCACATGATGTCCAAAGCGGTGGGTGAGGAAAGTAAAGAGAGCAGGGATGTAGAAAGCTAAGATGACACAGATATGGGAGGCACATGTGCCAAAAGCTTTGAGCCGGGCTTCACTTGAGGGTAACTGTAGCACTGTTCTCAGAATCATTACATAGGATACACTGATGGCAATAACATCAAAGCCAACCACAGAGAAGGCCACAAAAAGTCCATATGCACGATTAACTCTAGTGTCAGCACACACCAACTTCAGCACAGCCATGTGCTCACAGTATGACTGGGGGATGATCCGATTGGGGCAGAAGCGCATCCTGGACACCATGAAGCAGAAAGGACTCACCCACAGCAGCCCTCTCATCATCACACCTGCCCCCAGTTTACCCACGACAGATGGGGTCAGGACACTAGAGTGATGCAGCGGGAAGCAGATAGCCACGTAGCGGTCCAAGGCCATAGCCATGAGCAACCCGGACTCCACAGAAGAAAAGGCATGGATGAAGAACAACTGGATGAGGCAGGCATGGTATTCAATCTCATGATCATGGAACCAGAATATGGCCAGCATTTTAGGTTGTGTGGAAGTGGAGAGGACCAGGTCAGTGGTAGCCAGCATGGCCAGAAAGAGGTACATGGGCTCATGCAAGGTGGGATCAGTTCGGATTACATGAAGGAGAGTGATATTGCCGACTAGAGCCACAACATACATGGCACAGAATGGGAAGGCAACCCAAAACTGGGAATTCTCCAATCCTGGGATCCCAAGCAGGATGAAGGACACAGGATGAGAAGAGCTGTTCCCTGAAGTCGACATCATAGGATGGTTAATGTTTCTCCATTGGAAAGGTGATCTAGTCTCTGCAGGTGATCGCTTTAAGGTAAATTATTATTATTATTTATAATCCTTTGGATGGAAGAATTGAATATAGGGCAACTGGGCTTAATGGTAAGCTACAATGAATTCAGCTTTTTTAATATACAAAATTTTGTATATAATACATTGCTAACCTTCATTTTCACTCATATTTATGTCATTGAAAATAGGGTCAGGACATACTAGTTGCAAGTACAATATTTTATAAATTTTGAAAGTAGAATCTGCTGAAGGAAAACTATCTTGGAAAATAATGTCATAGTACTTCTTTCCCTCTGTTCTATTTATAACCAACAACGGATTCACTTAACCTTTCTCATAGATCCCTCCATCACACTTGGGAAGCCCTGCCTCAGGGAAGCAGTTGATTCACTACACCACACCAATGAACCCATTCCTGGGGACCCAGGCTCTGTGGATGTGGGGAGCAGTGATCTGTCTTTGCTCTTCCCACTGGAAAAGGGCTCCTGTTTCTTCAAAGGGGGCGACTATGCAGGGGACGATTCTGTAGAGGATCCCACTGTCTCCCTGCTGTTCGGTTCGAGACTCCCAAAGCTAAGGACCCCAGTGTCTCCTTAGGCCCCAGGAGGAAGCTTGGCCTGTACTTTCCCTCTGCCCTCTCCCAGGACAGGGCTGGTCTCTGGGAGATGGAGCAAGCATACTAGCCAAGGGCACCAGGCTGGTTAGAGGTTGAGTCAGGCCTCGACCCCCTGTGCCCTGTCTTTCTCTGGACTATATACACACTTGGACTGACCAGTGTTGTGGGTATTCAGAGTCAGTGTATTTGTATTTTACATGAGGATCTCCTTTTCTTCTTCTGCAGAAATATTCAGATATACACACAGCAGATATCCAGATGAGAGAGGCAGAGTTCTATAAAAAAAAAAAAACAGGCTCTATGCTGTGGCTCCTACATCAGAATTCAAACACAGGCAACAACACAACACATGGGCCACTTTTCAGTGTACGAAGTCAGTTTGGAAGACTCTTTGGCTTAAAGGCCCTAAGCAGTTTATTTAGTGACACTGAGTTAGCTTTGACTCTAAGACAATTACTATGAGGATCTGACTCATAGGTATCTGATTGACCAATTGTGTACCGAATGCATAAGGAACTTAGTGTATGGCTCTTACTAGTTGTAGGATCAGCAAACCTTTTCTGTAAAAGGTCAGATCATCAATATTGTAGGCTTTCTGGGCCATATAATCTGTTACAGCTAATCAGCTCAGCAGAGTAGCATGAAAGCAGCCATAGTTGATATATAACCTGTGAGTGCGGCTGTGCTCCAACAAAAGTTTATGCACAAAACCATGATGCAAAGTGGAGTTGGTGCAGGCTCTAGTTTTCCAATTCCTGTCCTAAGTGTTAAATTTTATGAAATCATCCCTGAGCCATGCTCTTTTCCTAGAACCTGTGCTTTGTGACGAAAACGACTGTAATCAATGCTGACTGAAGAAACTAACAAATAAAGGTCATTATTCAGTAGCAGTGGAGTCACTGACCAATTAACCATTTCTTAAAATGTCCTGACAGAACCCCCCACTTGAACACCACGAGTATATTATAAGTTATGTCCATTTCTCATACTGAGGTTGCCCTGCTGGCCAGGGGAGCACTTTGTGAACATCATCCTCTGCTAGTATTTGCCAGCATTATGTGGGGGTAATCCTACTGTCTCATCCCACATGTGAAAACTACATAACTCAGAGTCAGGGACACAAAAACTCATCTGGTTCTTACCCACCACATTCACACTATTTACTCTCAGTTGACCTTTGTTTGAAAGAATTAGCTCTTACCTCCTTTATAACAGAAGTATATAGACAATAAAGTATCTTTTCAAACTCCCTTTAACAAATCAACTCTGGGTATGGACAAATGTTTCATTCCAGATCCAGTAGTTAAAAGAAAGAAAGAAAGAAAAAACAAAGGATTTCTGGAAGATCTGAAAAAATTATGATATTCTCTAGATTTTTAACATTATTAAAGAATTGGCTCTTAGACCTTATCTTTCTCTAACTTGAAAACTTTACCATCCTTCATAGATAATAGCTATTGTTATTTAGTTGCTAAGTCATGTATGACTTTTTGGGGACCTCATAGAATGTAACCCACCAGGTTCCTCTGTCCATGGGATTTTCCAGGCAAGAATACTGGAATGGGTTACTATTTCCTTCTCCAGGAGATCTTACCAACTCAGGTATCAAACTCATATCTCTTGCACTGGCAGGTGGATTCTTTACCATTGAGCCAAAAGCAAGGCTCAGATAATAGCTATGGTTCATCCGAGAGTGTTCAGTTGTGTCCAACTCTTCGTGATTATATGGATTATAGCCCACCAGGTTCCTCTGTCCATGGGATTTTCCAGACAAGAATGCTGGAGTGGGTTGCCATTTCTTCCTCTGAGGAATCTTCCTGACCCAGGGATTGAACCCACATCTCTTGCATTGGCAGGCAGATTCTTTACCACTGAGTCACCTGGGAAGCCCAATAATAGCTATAGGTTCACTCAAAACAAACACTCCTATCTGTGATAAGGTGACAATACAGACACTCAGAGCAAAGGCTGTTCTGCTTGTGAGCAGGAACCTCTTGGTCGCATAAGGAGACAGAACAACTTAAATATGGGTGATGCTGAGAATCAAGCAAGAAGATTTTCTTCAAAAGTGTGCCCAGTGTCATACTGAGAAGAAAGGAGGCAAGCATAAGACTGGGCCAAATCTCCACGGTCTGCCTGGGTGAAAGACAATTCAGCCTGTTGCATTATCTCACACAGATGCTGTGGCTCAGACGGTAAAGCGTCTGCCTACAATGCAGGAGACCCGGGTTCGATCCCTGGGTTGGGAACACCCCTGGAGAAGGAAATGGCAACCCACTCCAGTACTCTTACCTGGAAAATCCCATAGACAGAGGAGCCTGGTAGGCTACAGTCCATGGGGTCGCAAAGAGTCGGACACGACTGAGCGACTTCACTTCACTTCACTTGACACAGATGCCGCAAGAACAAAGGCATCACCAGGGGAGAGATGCTGATGGAGTACTTGGTGAATTCCAAGAAATACAGCCCTGGAACAAAAATGATCTCTGCTGGCATTAAGAAGGGAGAAAGGGAAAACTTGATAGCTTATCTGAAAAAAGAGACTAATGCATAAATCAGACAAGCTTATGGCTGAATGAATATGGTCAGAGTTTTGAATTTTGATAGTAATTCTGATTCAGCAAGTATTATCACTGTTTTCCCCTTCTAAAAGATGATTGAACTTGATTGAGAAATGTTAAGCTTTTCAGGGAAATGGTGAATGCTTTCTCAAATCCTATGGAAGACTGACTTTATATTCAGATTTCTATAATTGGTTATACTAATATACTTAAATATTGAGAAGATTCCTTCACTGTTTCATAGAACAGAGCAAGCTTCACCTGATTTCCAGTTGTGCTCGTTAGCCTGTCAAGGCAAGGGCTGCAGATACACTGACAATGTTCACTTTATCTTTTTGTTTTTTTAAATTATGCCAATTTAAGGGCTTCCCAGGTGGCTCAATGGTAAAGAATCCTCTGCCAATGCAGGAGATACACGAGATGCGGGTTTGACCCCTGGGTTGGGAAAATCCTCTGGAATAGGAAATGGCAACCCACTCCAGTATTCTTGCCTGAGAAATCCCATGGATAGAGGAGACCGGTGGGCTGCAGTCCATGGGGTCTCAAAGAGTCCAACATGCCTAAGCAACAGAGTGCACACACATGTCAATTTAATTAAAATTTTCTACGTAAAAATTTCCTTCTACTTAATGAAAGACATTTTAGTGTGATTTATGTTTATCACCAAATAAAGAGCATTTAACACTACTGACATTTTATAGATGATCTTTAAGATCAGGTGCTTTTAAATTCACTGAGACAAGATATGTTACAAACTTTGCTTGTGAATTCTTCATAAGGTCTAATTTGACTGTTATAACTCTGGATTATCTTTCAAACAAGGATGCTGTTCAGTAACACAACTGTTGAACTACTGTATATATGTGATTGATAAAGGTGCTTTTGACTACTCATTAGAAAGATTAAACTAGAAAAGATATATAATTACCCAAAATCTGTAAATTATCTGATCATAGGCTTAGGTTTAAAAACAAAATCACAGATTATTGAAAAAAGAAAGAAAATTTAGAGATACACACACATTATCTGGGCACTTAGGTTTTGTTTTATCCCCATCTGCCTGGCCTGACCTTCCCAAACAGTCTTATATTCTCTTTGAGCTCGGGGCTCCCTCCTTCCCTTCTGTTTACCGCTATGTGTCACCCTCCGCTTCTCTGGACATAGTCACTGACACTAACGGTCACCTGGAAAAGAATACTTGGGCCATCTCACTCTTGCACTGGGCACTGGCGAAGATGCTGACTAGAGATACAATTCATCAAAGTGAGTATCAGTTGCTTTGATCAATTGTAGAAGGCATTGCTATTTTTTATAGATATAATGCTGTACACTTTTACATTTCATTACTTCTCTCACACACACTTTGCATCTCTATTTACAATAAGAAAAATAGAGCTCAGAGTAGTTACATGACTTGCCCAAGACTACACAATAATTCAGTGCCAAATGCATAACTCACAACCAATGATCTTGGTGGTCCACACCACTGACTCTGTAGGTAGTGATTGATTGGGACAACCACTCTGGTAGGATGCAGCAGAGATTATTGGCCTGTCATGAAAAAGTCAGATACAAAGGGTACCTGTGAAATTGTATGTGCTGTGCAGTGATTAGTCGCTAAGTCATGTCCAACTCTTTGCAACCCCATGGACGGTAGCCTGCCAGGCTCCTCTGTCCTTGGAGTTTCTCCAGGCAGGGATACTGGAGTGAGTGGCCATGCCCTCCTCCGGGGGATCTTCCCAACCCAAGGACTGAACCCAGGTCTTCTGCATTGCAGGCAGATT